CACAGCAGCTGCTGTCCCAGCACCATCTATAGGGAAGAACGTCACCCACCCCGCTGGTGAGCAGTGATATTTAAAAACATGGCAATATTTACAAACTCCTGTAATAACTCAAATGCACAATTATTTCTCACTTGGTGTTAAAGCAAACATCTGTCCTAAGACTGCAGGTATTAGAAAACATTTAACAAAGTCACCAGTATGGTCTTGGCTTTTTCCCTGAGGGATTTTAAGGAAAATGAAATCACCTCTTCAGTAAAAGACCACTGAAGAATTTCATATTTCCTGACTCGAAGTATAGATCCTAACAAATTATTGAGAATAACCAGGACAGACTCACTGAGAATAAATGAGAGTCTGACTTTCCTATGTTATTTTGCACTCAAGGCAATTGAGAAATTTTTTCATGTGCTAGCTTACTTTTTAAAAATGGGACAATAAATTTGATTTTATTCGAACATTGTCACATCACTAAATCCAAGAAAATGAATGCTGCTATTTCATACTCAGTGAAAGATTAGAATTAAAAGAATTTAGATTTTCACTCAAGAGAATTGGTCATCATCAGGAATGAGATCTGCAAAGTGGCCCAGCAGGACGCTCTAAGCTCTCATCCCACCCCCACCCCTCATCTCTGACACAAACCTTGGAAAACAAGCAGAAACTGTCAGAACCATTTTGTGAGAACTCTGACAAGCAGTCAGAGAAGTCTGTAAAAACCAGGTGCTGAACTGGGAAAGGAGGACCTCGGACGGGTAGGGAAGTTCCGATTCTGCTGCCTGGCCACCCACTGTGGCAGGGCAGCAGCTGGCCTTGGTCTCAAGGCGCACGTGGTCTTCTGGGGGTAGCAACCTCAGCTGCCAGGGTGGGACTGCTTCCCTGGGTCGAGAGGGCAGAGCAGATCCCGTTCAGAGCTCACTACAGGTGTCTGCTCTAGCCTGCCAGGGGCTACCTGAGGGGCTGCCACAGGCACCTCTGCTCCGCCTAACTCAGAACTCGGGCTGGGAAAGCGTGAAATTAACAAGCTTCACAGCCTGTGGCACAAGATGACAGTCCAAATGGACAATGCACTGCCAAGGCAAAAGCTGGGAGAGTCTCTCTGGGGAATTAGGCCGTTCAAAAGTAACAGGGCATCCTGGGAAATTCAGAAAGCCATACGAATAACCAAGGCAAGATGCATGCTCATTCATGAGGAGACCCTAGGTTCCACCTTGGGCTGATCCCCAGGCACAGAGCCAGCCTGCTCAGGAGCCGAAGGAGGGCCCAGGCACAGAGCCAGTTTGCAAAGACTGGGAGATGGCAGAGCTCCTGATGGTCAAGGAAATCTGTCAAAACACCAGTGAACACGAACTTTGAAACAGGACTTCAGGGATCACATCGTCCAGGAGTACAGTCTTTGCAATAAGAGTCTGGGAAAGTCACCAGGCCAAAAGGACTCCTACAGCTTCAACAAATAACAGCAGACCCTAGGGAAGGAGGAGAATCTAATTTCCAGAGCTATTACATTATAATAGTCAAACGTCCAGTTTTCAAAAACAACAAAATCACATGAAGGCGCGAGCGCGCACACACACACACACCAGGAAAGTATGACTCCAAGCAACAAAATAAACAAAAACCATCTCTAAAGAAGGTGAGACACAGGACTTGCTAGACAAAGTCTTTAGAACTGTGTTAAATATACTCGAATAGCTAAAGGAAAACACAAAGAACTAAAAGAAATCAGGAAAATGACATATGAACAAAACAGGACTATAAAGAGAAATAAATTCTAAGAAGGAATGAAACAAAAATCCTGGGGCTAAAAAGTACAATATCTAAAATGAAAAGTTTACCAGAGGGGTCCAACAGAATATCTGAGCAGGCAGAAGAAAGAATGAGCAAACTTAAAGATAAGGATTGGAATTCTCGAGTCTGAGGAGCTGAGCAAGCCTGAAGGACGCCTGGGACATCAAGCAGACTAACATACATGTCACGCGAGTCCCAGAGTAAGAAGAGGGAAAGGAGAAGAAAGAATATTTGAAAAAATAATGGCTGAAAATCCCCGCAATCTGATGAACCTACAAATCCAAGAAGCTCAACAAACTCCAAGTAGGATGCACTCAAGGGAACCACACTGAAACATTATAACCAAACCAGTGAAAGACAAAGAAAGAACCTTGAAAGCCGTAGAAGAGAAGTAACTCATCACACAGAACTCTGGATAAGGTTAACAGCTGATTTTTTTCAGCAGAAAGCACAGAGGCCAGAAGACAGTGGAATGACATTCAAAGTGCTAAAAAAAAAAAAAAATGTCAACCCAGAATTATACCTGGCAAAACTGTCCTTCGAAAATGAGGAAGAGATTACGACATTCCTCAGTAACAAAAGCGGAGGTAACCCAGACACTAGATCTGCCCTATGAGAGCGTGAAGAGAGTCTTTCAGACTGAAGTGAAAGATCAACCGACAGTCACTCAAAGCCACACGAAGACATAAAGACCTCCAGCGAAGATAAACACATGAGAAAATGTAAATGTATTTATTTGACACAGTGTAGAAGGAGGTTAACTTGTGACAACAACATGAAAGGAGAGGAAGATGTATAAAGCAGACCTTTGTGTGTTTTTAAAGTGGATACCAATTCAAAATAGATTGTTTTAAACTTACGGTGTTAAATGTAATCCCCACGGCAACCAAAGAAACTATATTAAAACATACACACAAAAGCAAATGAGCAGAGAATCAAAAACAGTTCACACACACACACGTTCAGCTGAACACAGAAGGCGGCAGCTGGGGAGGAAATGAGGGACAGGAAAGCTAGAAGACAGAAAGAAAACAAATAGCGAAACGGCAGAAGTCCTCACCAGCAACTACCTGGAAAGCAGAAGGATTAAACTCCGCAATCAAAATACTTGAGACAAAAATATTTTAGTTTTTTTCTTTAAAGAAAGAATATTAACATACATTCAGCAACTCTCCTGTGTCAGGCAAAGGCAATCCACACAAGCACCACCCCATCAAGTCGATTCGGTGAGGACCCTGAGGTGAAGGGATTAAGTAGCACGGTCACAAGGGAGAGCCCTCGCCTGCCCTCGGTCGAGGCAGCCCGGTGAGCACAGTGCCCGCTCTCAGCCCATCGTCGACTGTCCCCACGTGGAGAGGTTTGTGGAGAGTCACACGCAGGGGAGAACAATGAGCAACCTCTGGGATGCGGTTCTTCAGTGAAGCCCCCAGAGTCCAGAGAACAGAGAGGGGACCTAGGATTGACCTCATGCCTACCGGACACCAGGAGCAGAGAGACACTCAACCAGCCTCTGTCGAGCTCCACCTCTACTACAGAAGTGCAATGGCAAGAAAAAGCTTGATCGGCTGCCCCAAGGTCATCGGCAGACAAGTCGGGATGCAGTTCCAGTGGCCTGAGGCTCCCCCAGTAACTACAACCAAGGCTAGTAAGACGCGCGTAAAAGTGGCCAATTGATTGCCATTTCCAAAATGCTAAAATCATTTAAAAAAAATTATTTATAAAAGCAAAGCTCTTCTCATTAGAGACACACAGGAAAAGAAAGCCTAAACACTGAATGCCTGGTTCCTGGAAACCCACAAATGTTACAAAGAAAACAGATACTTTTCAGAACTGTAACTAACCAATGTCTGTATCAACAAGAAAATGTTGAAAAACATCCTGAAAAACAACTTTTAAGAGTAAACAAAATAATAGATCAATGGAAAGTAGAGTATTACTGGCGGGCGGGGGGGGGACATTTTCAACTAGTAGTTTGGGAACACTCTGGAAGAGGAGACAGGAAGGGGAAGTCAACGCTGTCAAGCCGCGCGTCACCGGTGTGAAATCAGGACAGGGTGGGAGGAGAGGTGAGAGTCAGACCACCCTGTTAGGGATGAGGACAGGCTCCAGGCGGGCGATCCCAGGGAAGTCTCCCAGACCTCTGCAATAATCTTCAGCCAGAAGGACCACCAGGAGCCGGCCCCGCCTCCAGCCCAAGGCACGAGGCCGCAGGAGCCAGGGTCTGTGCACTGTGGGAGAAGCAAGATGGGTGGAGACACGAGCACCCCCAGACCCAGCCTGTCTGGCAAGAGCGAGGCGAGAGAAAAGGGCACTGCGCAGTCTGCCTCGCTCCTGCGACAGAGCTGCAGCGGTCACCAGCAGCCCGACAGCCGTTTTTGTCAGGACGTTGTTATTCCCAGCACATCACCAGGACATTTCTACTCAACTAGAGGAAGTTCTGTTCCGTGTACCCAGGCTTTGTCCATGCTCCATCCATTTACCAGTCATATTTAACTTGAATACAAAAACAAAAGGATAGTCTACCATCAATATAAACAAGAAAAAATGGGGCGAACTGTAGAATCAAAGGATGAGGTTACTTTTACTTATAACGGTTTCCTTTGGTGCAGCATCTACCAAACCCGAACCTGGAGCCTACATTGAACAAATTCGCCGACCGGCATGCAAGTCCACTCACGCACTGGCACCACTCAAAGCCACCATGCGGTCACAGCCCACAGCCCCAGGAAGTGTACGACCGGAGGAGGAACCAGCCCAGCCCACCGAACACCTGGGTACCACAGTTATGAGGTGAGCGGCACTCAGCCACACATGTGGGCAAACCCAGGAGCCGGGGCAAAGCGGGGACAGAAGACTCAAGGAGGAATCAGAGTGGACAGTTTACGGTTAAGCCACATCCTTCTCCATCTAACTCGAACAGCGGCAAACCTGATGCTCATAACCCTAACGCCCTCCGACAGCTCAGACGTGGCCAGAACGTATTTCGAAAACATTAGCCGTGCACTCGAAATGCTATTATAGTCTGAAAAAGACCAGAGAAACACAACAGTAAGTCTCCTATTTACTTGTTTAGGGTTTTACATATCTCAGTTGTTTAAGAGTCAAAAGATATTTCGTACTGCTCATTACAGTCATGAGTCACATAACTACAGGCACAGGTTCTGAGAAATTCAGTTAAGCGATTTCGTCGCTATAGGACCATCGCAGTGACTTACGCAAATCTAAACGGTGCAGCCAACCACACGCCCGGGCTGTACGGTCCAGCCCACTGCTCCTGAGCTGCCAGCCTGTACGGCACGTTACAGTACTGAGTGCAGTAAGCAACTGTAGCACAATGGTAAGTACTTGTGTATCTAAACATAGAAAAGTACAGTAAAAATACAGTATAAAAGAGAAGAAATAGTACTCCTGCATAGGGCACTTACCAGGAATGGAACCTGCAGGACTGGAAGCTGCTCTGGGTGGCTCAGTGAGTTGAGGGTGACTGAACGTGACAGCCTAGGACACGTTTGTGCCCGACTTTAGACTTTAAATACACTGCACACTTTCAATAATAAAGTAACGTTAGCTTATTACAACGTTTTTACTTTCTAAACTTTTAAATTTTTCTAAACTTTTTGACGCGTAATTACTTAGCTTGAAATACAAATGTTATATACACCTACATAAAAATATTTTCTCTTTTAATATCCTGATTCTACAAGCTTTTTTCTATTTTAAAATTTATTTTAGTTTTAAAACTGTTTTATTAAAAACTAAGACACAAACACACAGTTGCCTGGGCCTGCATGGGGCCGGGTCATCAACATCACCGTCTCCCACCTTCAGATCTTGTCCCACTGGAAGGTCTCAGGGGCAGAACACCCATGCGGGTGTCATCTCCTGTGATGACAGTGCCGCCTTCTTCTGCAACACGTCCCAAAGGACCTGCCTGAGGCTCTTCTTGAGGAGGTGTCGCTCTTCCCAGAAACACCCCCATGGTGGTTTGTTCGGTTCATTTCTCTTTCATCACAGACACGCTTGTGAGCAGACAGATAATGCGCCGTGAATATTTCTATTAGTGAAAACTGTCGGTGTTGGGGTCCACGTGTTCGAACTTTCAGAGGAGCTTGCTGAGGCCTGCAGAGCTTCTGCTGAGCCCTTCCCTGTGCTTTTTCTTGGGGCTTCTTCTCCTCCCGCAGTCTCCGCCTCCCTCGCCTCTTAGCTGCGCGCTCCTGCGCCCGTTCCAACAGCTCCTCGTGGGTCAGTCCCTTGGGAGCCCCGTCAGGAGCCCTGTAATGTCCTCCTCGTCCACACCCAGGTGACATCATTTGCCATCGCAACCACAGTCGTAGTGATTTCTGCAGCCTCCTCAACCTTGGCAAATTCCGTGAAGTCATGGATGAACCTCTTGAGTGTCTTCTTTCAGAAGCCACTGGTACACTCCTTGGTGGCATCGCCACCAGCGCAGTCCCTAATGCGGTCGCAGATGTCGTGATCCTTCCAGAGTTGCGTCCGTGTCTCCTCAGCGTCCTCCTCCGCTGCAGCAGTGGCCAGGGCCAAGGTCCTCTGCAGGTCGTAGGCCTTAGGAGCTGCTGTGACTCCTTGATCCACCGGCTGGACCTTAGAGGGGGTGTGTGGAGGGAGAAACACCAGTCTGATATCGGGATGAAGCGCACCAGTAAAAAGAGGATGTCCTGGGAGCATTACCAACACTCAGCAAAATCTTGAAAAATATCTTATTCCCCAAATAGCGCTTCTCCATTTTGCTGACATAGCAGCTCAGGAGGGCTTCTTGGAAGAGGAGCTGGGTCACCCATGACTTCTGACTGCTCCAGTAGTTCACTGGCAGTGTGTGCTTCCTGACATGCTTGAAGGCCCTGGGCTTCTCGCTGTGCCAGATCACAGAGTTTAATCTGTAGCCTGCAGCACTGCCCCCAAACGCGATGCTTATCCTGTCTTTAAAAGCCCTGACACCTGGCACTGACACGGCCTCCTTACGGATGAAAGTCCTTACAGACATCCGTTTCCAGAACAGGGAGGTTTCTCCCGTACTGAATATTTTCTCTGGCGAGTCATTTCCCTCCACGATAAGCTGATCTAGGGTTTCCCAATATCCTTCAGCTGCCTTCACCTCAGCACTCAGACTGGCCACTCACTTTCACATCACGTGATGAATAACGATTCTCGAATTGTTTAAACCGCTCGGAGCTGGCAGTAAATTCTAAACCGTAGTCAGGTCCAGGCTTTTCTTTCAGCGTCGCAGCCAAACTTTTTGCTTTCGTCGTGGTGCCGTGTCTGGTCTGCAATCTAGGCCCTTGCAAGAGTCTCCACGTCTGAAACGGGCCCTTCTTGATTTTTTTTGACAATATTTATTTCTTTACTTATGTACTTACTTATTTGGTGAGGCAACCTTTGGTTGACCTCACAGATTGCAAGGACCTTGTCAGTTTATAATCCTTTATTTTTTTTTAAATTTTTTATGCCTACAGCACCTGGTCTTCTTTGGTGGTCTCCCATCCAAGTACTAACCAGGCCCGACCCTGCTTAGCCTCCGAGATCAGACGGGATCGGGGGCGTTCAGGGTGGGGTGGCCACAGTCTCGTCTTCGATGAAGCAACAGCTTCATTGACAGGTTTCCTTTAACAGCTTCCATCACTTTGTCCTTGTTCAAGATCTTGCTATAGTGGAATGGGACATGCCCGACTGGCGAGCAAAGACCATCACTGATGTTCAACCCTCGTGGTCCTTGATCTCTTTTAATTTCATTTCCAGGTCAATCACTCGACGTGGCCTCTTATTGGCAACATTAGCAGTGGATTTGGTACATTCAGGGGCCATAATAAACAAAAGAACACCAAGTGAAATCAAACACAAGAGAAAGCGATGCCCTCAGGAGAGGCAGCAGACAGGCGCCGCAGAGCCAGTGTGACGCGCCCCGCCGCGTCCCCCGCCCTGCCGTGTCCCGCAGTCC